TGTCTAATTAGGAAATTGTGGTTTGTCCTGGAAGTATCCGAGGTGTTTTTGAGTTGGTGATGCTCCATTTCTTGTCAGATTGGGTGGTAATGGTTTACCATTGTTTTAGAATGTGAAGACAACCTTGAGCTAAAAGGAACATGAATGAGTCATGTTCCACTGCTGGCCCTCTCATTAAGAAACGGAAACTTCTCAATGCTCTGAAAAGAGGAAGATAGCCCAGGAGAACAGTGGCTTGTGGGGATTTCCCCAAATTTTCAGTGGGATCAGCATTCAATGCAAATAGCTTCCTCACTCTCTTTTTAGACTTTGTCTAGACTAATCAAGAATGTTTTCATTGTTGTTGTTTTTTTTTTTTTGGCAACCTCATCAGAAAATGAAAATCACAAAAGAAATATCTGAATCATTGTAGCAACCTCTAGAACACATTCATATTTCCTTTCAGGAGGGTAGCAAACAGGCAGGGAAGCATCAACACTGATACAGCTAAAAAGAGTTCAAGAGCCCTTCTTTCAGAAACTAGAGGAGACCAGTGGCATGAGAGTGCTCTGTAATGCAAACAGTATAGTCTCTACCTCCATTAGGCATCCTTTCCATCACAAAATTCTATTTGTTTCAGTGGCCCCTGGAGGAAGAAGAAGCAGACCAAAATTCTACCATGCATTTCTTGGCATTTGAGTGAAAGAACTGTGTTAAATTACAGTTAAAGCACTAATGAATGAATGTAAATTAAAATGCATATATATGCCCCCCCCCGCTTCTGTAAAGGTTCTCCATCAGCCAATACATTAGCAAAAAAGCTGGCTTTTTGGCATAAAATCACATTGTACAATATCTTGATTCAGGAACAGTATTTATCCACAAAACACGTAAAGTAAGTTCTTGATCTGCAGTTGCTCATCCCATTCTGAAATTCACTCTAAAATGTTTTCCCAATTTAACGAGTCCAGTAATTTTTCATGCAAATTATTTGCAAAAAACTTACTAATAATACTCAACAGGCTGATTAGGTAAGCAGCAATTACTGTGAATGTCCTATTCCCCCCTTTTTTTCCAAAACAAACCAGGAGAGAGAGAGCAGAGTTTATTTATCAACTATAAGTCATTAAAATACGTTAAAATAAAATAAAAGCAGCAGGTGAGATGGTTAATTAAAAAGCAAATACAATAAGACGTAAATAGGAATCAAAAAGACAAATGTACAGGAAACAAGCGAGCTCTGATGTTAATTGCAGCCAAGGCAAAGTTTGCCACGTTTAAGGTGGTATTGGCGTTGATGTCAGCCAGGAGCCAACAGACCTGGGCGAGATTAGGTCTGTCTTGGATGGAAGTCAGAGAACTTGCCAAAAACCTTGATCTAGGGGAGTGGTAATGTGGACATCTCAAAAGGTAGTGAGTGATGTCTTCGACTTCTCCCAGGTGGCAAGGACAAATTCTTAGATGATAGGGCAGATTCTCGTGTCTGCCCTCTAACACTCTTGAAGGCATACATTGAAAACGTAGAGCGGTGAAGGCCTTGCGAAGGGCGAATGTAGTTATCCAGGTCAAATAATTTTCCATGACAAAGGTTGACTTATAGAGTGGGAGTGAAGA